ACGCTGTTAATATATCGAACCTTTTTTCAACTAATTTCCAGAAGGTTAGGTCAATTAACATGAATCATATGCTAGAATCTATTATTCTTTTTGACTCAGATCATTTACTACTCATCATCCCCTTTTTAATTGATATACTCTCGTGATGAACAATTAAATGTAAGGTTGTAATTGTTCTTTCCTAATGGTGAAAAAAAACTCTTCCCGTCAGGCTGAGAGAAAAAAACTAAAACTTAATTTTTGGACCAATCATATAATATGTTGTGCATGAGATCATCTACTATCATCGAATTCGAGGAGAGGAAATAATTTTCAACATATCACATGTTAATACAGGGGGATATTGTGGTTTAAATATTTAGTTCCCTTAGCGAAAAAATTTATTTTTCTACAATTTTGATGAGCCCAAAAGAGCTTCCTTAAGAATTCTATTCAGAGTAAAATAATTTCAACTTACTGTAAATTATAAAATGAATGGTGCACCAAATGAGACCAATGGTGTTCATAAAAAGGTTTTACCTCGCTTACAAATAATTAATGAAAAGCAGGAATTTACGTACGTATATTAAAGTTGTTGTTCGTTCTGTATTTGCTTTATATATTTATAGATAAAATTAATTGCTTATAATCTTTTTAACAGAAAAGACTTGCCACCATTCATGAAAGATGAATGGCAAATTGCCGATGTGGGATTTAATTATAATCTGGTGGCGGTTTTTGGTTCGCAAAGTACTGGAAAAAGTAAGCTCGATTTATCTTATAAAAACAATTTTTTGATATAACGTCTCATTGATTTTTCGATTTTCAGGTACTTTGTTAAATCGACTTTTCGGAACTAGTTTTGATGTAATGAACGAAAATTCTCGTCGTCAGACCACCAAAGGTATTTATTCGGGTTATATGGAATAATTCAAGCTATATATAAATCGCACTAATATTATATTTGAACTATGCTGTTGATTAGGTATTTGGATGAGTCGTGGCAAAGACATGAATGTTTTGATCATGGACGTCGAAGGTACAGACGGTCGAGAACGTGGTGAAGATCAGGTATTCATTTTTAATTATTTTAATTATTAATGAAGAAAATTAAAATTTAAGATGATCGTTTTAATCTTGTAATACTAATGATTATAGGATTTCGAAAGGAAAAGTGCATTATTTTCCATGGCTACTTCCAATGTAATTATCGTAAATCTATGGGAACATCAAGTAGGCTTATATCAAGGTGCTAATATGGGCCTACTGAAAACTGTTTTTGAGGTTAATTTACAATTATTCCAAGCAGCAAGAGGGTATGTTTGTCGTGTATCAACAAAATCACATCTTAATATAATACGAATTGCTAAAATTATTATTATTAATAATATTTAGCAAAGAGAAGACACTGTTACTATTTGTAATCAGAGATCATGTGGGAACAACACCATTGGAAAATTTGTCTAATACTTTAACAGAAGATCTTAAAAAAATTTGGGAGAGTGTTTCAAAAGTAATTATATGATCTTTTGTTATTATTTGCTTTGCATACTGTTTATCATAAATTTCTTATTCGTATCTTTTATCCAATAGCCTGAAGGTTTGGAAAGTTGTACCATCACGGACTATTTCGATTTCATGTTTGCAGCATTACCACATAAACTGTTATTACCACAAAAATTCGAGGAAGATGTAATCAAATTGCGAGAAAGGTATAGTATATGATTTTTTTTTAAAAATTATGTCTCAAGATTTAATGAAAATTTATGATTGATTTGTTTTTGGTAGGTTTGTAAATACAAATCATAAGGAGTTCGTTTTCAAGCCGAATTATAGTAAACGAGTACCTGCCGACGGATTTCATGTTTATGCGGAAGGAATTTGGGTATGAAAAGTAAATCGCTAATAATTCTTTAGATATTTTATTATTTACATTTTTCTTAATCACTCTTAATAGGACCAAATTATGTCCAATAAGGATCTTGATTTGCCAACACAACAAGAACTTCTTGCACAATACCGTTGTGACGAAATAGCAACAGTAAATAATCATCATCACTATTTCGTAAATTATACGCAAAAATCGTTATTATTAACTTATATGTCTTTATATATTTTACTATTTTAAGGTTGCTTTCGATGCATTTTTAGGAAAAATAAAAGGATTTCGACAACCTATCGAATCTGGAAAAATCATAGAAGATCTAGGACCACAAATGGAGGAGATTCGAAATGCGACAATAAGTAACTATTTTCTTTTTCTCCATCATATTTATAAATAAAGTTAAAATATAAATTAGTATTTATAATTTTCTTTACAATTGTTAGAACAATTTGATAAAGACGCATCTCGATATCTTTCGGAAGTATACAAACGTAAACGTCAAGAAATACTTAACAAAACAAATTCACAATTACACGTATTTTTCTTGGGACAATTGAAAAATCTTACCAAGAAAGCTATTAATACATTCAATGCTCGTATCCAGGTATTTATCATTATATATTATCATTTGTCAAATTTTTTTCTTTTAAAAAAAAAAATATCTAAGCACGTACTTTTAATTCATAGGAAAAATTAAAAGGGGAAGGGTATGATTTTGCTGAGGTGGTTTCCAATGCTCGCAATGATGTCGAAACCTTTTTCAAAAATAACGCTGAATGTAATTAAAATTAAGTTTTTAATTCGAGGAAAAATTCTATTCCGAATTTCTTTTAATAATATTAATATATATATTTTTTATTATTATTAAGCGATTGTTCTATCTCAAACTGACTGGACTTTCGACGAAGAATTTACTCAATTATGTGAATCTATGAATGAAATTGCTGCTAAATCTAGAATCGAAGAAACCAAAAAGATGATAAAGAATTTGGAGGTAGAATAATAATATTAATTTATATACAATGATGTTTTAAAATTTTATAATAATAATTTTAATGATTTTTTTTCAAATTATAGAAAAACGTTCAGGCACAAATCAACGAGTTCGTTTCTTTATATTTTAAAACACCAACCACGGATATGTGGGGGAAAATTATCGGGAAATTCCAAGAAGCTTTAAATAAGGCCGAACAACAACTTCTTAAGAAAGCTAAGAGTAAGTTTACGTATATACCACAATTTCATATATCATTGAAGTGTTTTAATATTTTCTATAATACCTTTAACCTTCTTAAATTCAATTAGGTTTTAATTCAACTGAAGAAGAGAACGCTAAATCTCTCGAAAATCTTCGAAAAAGATCTTGGCAACAATTACGGAAAAAAATAGATGATGAACTCGTTGATAATATGTTTTTGCTTAAATTACGTGAAAGGTGCGCTTGTCATTTTATGGTTAACCAATACGATAATGATTTTGAACACGAACCAGGATTAAACTGTTTAGTCAATTTTTTTTTTAGATTTGAAGAAAAATTCAGATACGATGAAGAAGGATTACCAAAAGTCTGGAAGCCTGATGATGACATCGATGCACATTTTAGAAAGGCTAGAGAAGATGTAAGTTATTGCATTAAAATTGAATAAAGCTTTGTCAATCATTAAAAATGACTAAAGTTTGACCTCTATTCACATTATTTCATCATAGGCACTTAAATTAATACCATTGTTTGCCAAAGTTCAAATTCCTGATGGTATAGACTTGGATATTCCTTCGGACGAAGTAAGTTTTTTGTATATAATACAATTAAATGTACAGACGATTGTTAATATATATAATAATGTTTATTTGTTGCATAGGAATTTGTTTTCGAGGAATCATTGATCATCCTTTCTGAAACAAAACAACATGATTTAAATGTTCGTTTCAAACGTGAATCTGATGCCTTTTACTTGGAAGCTAAAAGATCTGTTGTTGCGACTACGGCTCGTGTACCGTATTGGGTATTGCTTTTGATCGGTAAGTTGCAATTTAAAACTAATTGTTGCGTAAATAGTTTAAATTTTATGATGTGGATTGACACCTTTTTTTTAGTTTTACTTGGTTGGAACGAATTCTTGGCAATCCTCACATCACCAACGTATCTCATACTCGTTAGCTTTTTTGGTTTTATTGGTTTTATAATCTATACATTAAATCTATTTGGACCTGTCGAAACCTTCGTTCAGATGATAGCCTCAGAGATTATTAAAGTCGGAAAGGAAAAAGCTTATAGTGCTTTGCAGCAAGGACACCCAGCAAGTGCCGATAAGTTTGGTCAATATTTAGATCCCGGTACATCGGTTTCTAAAAAAGAACAATAATTGTAATTAGACGTATAAAATCTTTTTATTCTTTCTTAAAATTCATTGTAATTTTTTTTTTCTTATTTAATTCCTTTTTTTGCAAAATCTTTTGACATAATAAATCAATTTTGTACTTTTGTTTTTTTAATTTTCGTATTTCTTAAATAACTTAATTTTATGGTAGTTCCTATTTGTGAATTCATATACACGTTTTAAGAAATAAAATTGAATTCAGATACAGAATTATTGGCTTTAACATGCAATACTGGAAGTAGAACCGGATTAATTTATTATAGCCACATTTAGTATTTTTTAATATTATCTTATCAGTCATGTGATTTTATTAAACTAGAATGTATCTGCAAAATAAATATTTACTTGCTATTTTCTAACAAGAATGTGAATTCAATCAAGTATCTATCTTTATACAAATAAAAAGGTTGGCAAAATTAAAAAATTTAATTGTGCGATTTTTAACAAAGAATGTGAATTCGAGTATCTATCTTTATACAAATAAAATGGTTTGCAAAATTAAAAAATTTAATTATGCGATTTTCTAAAAAAGAAGTATCTAACTTTATACAAATAAAAAGGTTTGACAAATAATTGCACGATTTTTTTTTAAAAACAAGGACCAAAAAAAAAAAAAAAAAAAAAAAAAGGAAATCGAGGAATTTATATAGCCAAATAAACTCTATAAAAAATTAAAATTTTCTTTATTCCTATGTACATTTTTAATAAAGAGATGTTGATATATTGCGTTCGTTTATAAAACGTTCATCAATTTGGAATTAGTTTATAAATTGCCAAGTAACTTGGACTCGACCTTCTTGTGGTGTTGCAATTTGGTTAAAAGCAGTTGGAGATAAATCTATATCACCAGATTTACATCCAACGCATCGATCTACGCACATAACGGTTACTGATTTGTCGCCACGCATAACGTTTGCGAGTCTTCCGCAATTGGGATTTAGATTTGGATTACCACCTGGAGAAGGGTCAAACATTTCAGCAGAAAGAGCAAAAATCAGTTCGGCGTTGTTGTTAACTCTACCACAAGCTCCAAGTCCCGTATCAAAAAAAGTGCCATCTCCCGTAAATGGTATATTTGAAAGAACAGGAGCAGTATCATTTACATCAATGAATATAATCGTGATAGAAAAGAAGATGACCAATATGTAATAATGGCCTAAACTTCGTGCCATTATTGATTATTAAAGTTCTTTTCCTTTTTTTTTTAAAAAAAAAAAATAAAAAAAACAATTTTGACAATTTACAAAATTTTTAAAATTTTTTTGGTTTAAGGTACTTCGAAGAGGGTTATATGTAAATAAAAAAAAAAAGATCATGGGTGAAAAAGAAAGGTTTGAAATTTTATTAGAATGACTTGAATAATGAAAAGTAATTTGATTATCAAGTGAGGCTTGCTTTTGCCTGCCTTATTGTTTGTTCTATTTGTAGAAAAATATTTTATTGAAGCGAGAAAGCAAATATAGGCTAGGCAGGCACACGGTAAAAAATAAAAAATAAAAAATATGCATAGAAACAGAAAAATTTAAAATTTAAAATATATAATGTTGTTTATAAAATAAAATGATTTGTTTTATTATTTTAGAAAATTCACCAAATTTTGTTTTATATTAAAAGATAAAGTTTTGTGTTGGCCAAAGCTTTAATTCGAATAATTGTTATATGATGTTATCAGTGTTGGAAAATCAAAAGAAACGTTTGATTATTTTCAAACTGCAATAATAAAAAAAAATATATTTCGAGCAAACAGCATGTCGGAATGAATATTGATCAATCGTTTAAAATAATAATAAAAATAATAATTAAAACTTGTTTACCAAAATCATCACCAAATTTCGGCGGAATGAGTGACTTGTGCTTGTTTAAAATATTATGTTTCAAATCTCTTATTTTATAAAAACAAATTTAAAAAAGATTAATTAAAAATTACATGATTTGTCAAAGTAGTTATTTATGCAATATCAAACGCCAACTATCATAAAGGAAAAAAAAAAAGCATTGGCAGACCTAAAGATATTTTATTGTGTTGAATTGAATTAGTGGCATAAAAACGCGTACCTAAAATGATATCTTCAATAAGATGATTGAATTTGGGATCATATTATGTAACCTTTCTTTGGTATATTAAGATCTTTATAGTAAGATCGTATTTTTGCTATTTTTGCTGCACAATCTTATCACAAAACCAGAATTTCTCAATATCACTTGTAGTAAATAGAATTCAACAAATGTACGCCATTGGATAATTCTCAAATAGGTTTATTCCGTTGCAAACTTTCTTTATTCCTCTTATAAATAGATTCTCAATTTAACTTTCTAAAATATATCAGCCATTTATTTTTTTTCCGGCTGAGGAATTCCAAACCAAGATAAAAAAAAAAAAATTTTTTTTTTATTATCTCTTTCGCTTGTAATTCGATTTGGAACTTGAACAATACTTCGAGATTCCCTATCATTCATATTTAGATTTGATGCTAAACCTTTTTTGTTAGTTCAAATGCAGAACAATGATAATTTTGATCTTCACCCCGATCCTGAAAAATTTGCCTAGACTAAATTCAGGTTTAAACCCATAAATGATTTTCACGACATGAAATTGTTCCGATTCTAAAAATATATTTCTACCCGAGGCTCTTATTCAGAATCGTATAAATTATTTTATTTTATTTTATTTTTTTTGATTGATGTTAATTTCAGTTGTTTTTTTTTTACGTGTGCGATGTTGTGACAAATAAAAAAAAATCTCATGTAAATAATATATATGCAACTTTCTGCAAATGTATATTTACAATTCAACGCCACCTGCGTTTTCGGCTCTACCAATGTAGTGTGACAACTTTTTTTTTCTTTTCTTTTTTTAAAGGAAAAAATATAAAAAGAAAATGCAAGTTAAAAACTACCAATCTATGTTATAATATCCTTTCTTTTAATGAATCAATTAATGATTGGTTACAAAAAAAAGCAAGCCTAACTCCTTTCTTTATTTTTAATAATTATAGAATTATTGATTATCTCTAAAATAAGGAAGTTTCAAAATACGAAATCCTCATGCTTTTCTAATTCGATGTAATCCTGAATGCTGCGGTGCTTTTATGTTTTTATCGCAATATTGCAATGGGATATTCTTTTTGGATGGAAATTTTCTCAAAAAATTTTGAATTATTTGTTTGGAAACTAGGCAAATTAATGGAATTAATGAAAGGAATCTAATTATTTTGTTACTTAGTTTTTTTTTTCTTTGCTTGAAACTTTGTACGAATTCTCCTGCATTCTAAATTTTAGTGATAAATTATTTCTTTGAATGAATCAAATTATAAAAATAATGTTTATTATGATCATCGTAATCACATTAATATAAACAATTAATTTTAAAACCGAAATTAATTACAGCAATCTCTAATTATATTATCATTATATGGGAACGTTGCCACATTACGGATCATATGATTTACTATATCTCGTGACTAAATTTACTGGCAACGTTCCCGTATTATTATTATTGAATATCACTTGTCCTCTTTTAATCTATCTTCGAGTAAATTCCGTGCTAGATTGTAAATCAATAAAAAACATGAGCTTACTCAATACTTTATATATCAAATATTGAAATGTTAATATATAAGGTTCTTAGTTTCGACAGGTTTTAATAAGTCCTTAATAAAGTTTTGACTGTTTAATATAGCTTGGCAGGTTTCGACGGGTCTCGACAGATTAATTTATATGAGTTTATTAAGGTTTTGACACTTTCGACATTCGACGGACGGTCTATCTCGATCAAAGTTTTCAAAACATCACGGTATATTTCCCAAATTGGCGGTAAATATGATTATGTAGTCACTCGTTCATGAATTAACACAATTTGTAGCACCGTAGTTATGTAGTCATGATACGTGTAAAAAATGGGCGTAGTCACGTGCGTGTAGAACTAGAACTTTACTGCGTCACACATTTTTATTTTTTAAAAAAATGGATATGGACAAGCTTTCTTCACTCAACTCACTCAAATCATGTTCATCTTCATTGTCGAATGTTTTATATTGACCAGATTTCACATGCTTATAACGTTCTTAATATTAATAAATTCAGACAAGGTTAAAGTTAGTATCGAGGTGGAGATATGTATAGGTTCATCGTATTCGTCTACCCGCCGGTATCGTACTTAGAACCAATCTTAATCTTCCAACCAATCGATGGATATTGAGCCTCAATCCGTGCTTTAAGTCTGTCAGAAAATTTTTTTCAAGAATCCATATCCTGAGTTACGGAATTTACTAGTCAATTTTTTATATCTTCCAGAAGGTCTCTTCGATGCTGCATATGGGTGGTGTGCTAATAAAATTGAGGTACGGATCATATGATTTATTATGTCTCGTACCTCAATTTTAATAGCATACCACCCATATCCATTTTCACAAAAGAGAATTTCGATCCTATTGATGACTGCATGTTGCTTCCGCAATTTCCATTTCTAATAAATCAGCAAATTCGGCTACAAACGCGCCACGTCGTTCAACAAAGCTCGGTATTATTTTCAACAATGGGAATTCGAAATTATTCGAATTCCATTCGTAAAATTTGTTCTGATATGAGAATTTCATTACGGAATGATGAAATAATTTTTAAGGTTTTCTCGTCCAAAAGGATATCACCATTTCGATAGAATTCCATAATATAACCATTGCGATCAAAAAAATATTCGTTATCATCAGGATGTGTTGGCTTAAGCATTGCAGCATTGGTAGGATCGAACATTCTGCCAAGCATTGTCTGTGGATAAGAAGTCAAGGTTGAACGAGTGGTTTCATGCTAGGAAATAATTTGAATTCTTTTAACTTCTTGCAATATATATGAAAGTTTAAATAAATGCAGTGGACTTACTATAATTCCACCAACATTTAAAATAATCCTATCGCTCGTTGAATTAGTAACATTTCGACTTTTATATGAGTTTTTTCTATACGAGCCTCTATGTGAGTTTCTGTATGAGTTTCTTGAAGAATTCTGCCTTTCCATGTTTGACAATGCAATGTAAGAACCACAAAAAAGAAGACTTTATATAGAAATGCGCTGTCGCACCAATTTGTCAGGTGATTCTATCAACCCCATGAAAAATTTTGTCACAACCCTTTATATATACTGTACATATGTTGTGCTTCAAATGTAACATATATATATCTATCCTTTCATTTATTATGTAAAAAATTAATGGGGTGCAGAGATATATTGGTATTTTTTATTAGGAAATATTAGTAAACATTTCTTTCTTTTCTTTTATAAGAATCTTTTCAAATATTTTAGACCTTTAGGTAATGTGTTTTTTTTAATATTAAGGAATATTACTAATATTTCAATTTTTTTTTATAAGTTAGATTCCTGCAGCACACAAATAATTTTTTGTTTTTGCAACAATAAATATGGATTGGCAAAACCGTAACAACTAACAACTATTTTTTATTATTTTAAAAAATGGCGGCAAAAACTAAGTAGGGTGTTGACTAGTTTAAATTGGTTTACAAATAAAAAAAAATTAAATTCTCACTCATTCTCTTCATTGTTTTCTGGCGTATTTTGTCCAGACTTAATAAGGTCCATGACATTCTCAATATTGATAAAATTAGTCAAAATTAATCTCATTGATGGATCATTGTTATATTCTACAATCTGCCAACCAATCGATGGAAATTGAATCTCAATCCGCGCTTTTATTCTGTTGGCAAAGTGTTTTAAGATTGCATACCCTGACTTGTGGAAATTTCTAATAAACTCTCCCTTCTGATATGAATCACTTCCATTTTCACAAAAGAGAATTGCGATTCTGTTGATGATTTTGCTTATGGATTGCACAATTTCTTCTTCCAATAAATCAGCAAATTCGTCTACTAAAGCAGCCCCACGTCGCTCAGCAAGCTCAATTTTATTTTCCAAAATGGGAATTTGAAAGTAATCGAATTCCCTTCGTAAAATTTGTCCTGATATGAGAGTTTCATCATGGTATGGTAATGTAATTTTAAAGGTTCTTTCGTCCAAAAGGACATCACCATTACGATAGAATTCCATGATATAATAAAAAACATGACCATTACGATCAATAAAATATTCGTTACCATTAGGATATGTTGGTTTAAGCATTGCAGTGTTTGCAGGATCGAACATTCTGCCAAGCATTGTCTGTGGATAAGAAGTCAAGGTTGAACGAGTGGTTTCATGCTAGGAAATAATTTGAATTCTTTTAACTTCTTGCAATATATATGAAAGTTTAAATAAATGCAGTGGACTTACTATAATTCCACCAACATTTAAAATAATCCTATCGCTCGTTGAATTAGTAACATTTCGACTTTTATATGAGTTTTTTCTATACGAGCCTCTATGTGAGTTTCTGTATGAGTTTCTTGAAGAATTCTGCCTCTTCATATTTGACAATGCAATGTAAGAATCACAAAAACAGAAGACTTTATATAAAAATGCGCTGTCGCACCAATTTGTCAGGCGATTCTGTCAACTCCATGAAAAATTGTCACATGAGTAAAACATTAATGGGATGTTACTTTTACTGCAGCACACAAATAATTTTTTGTTTTTGCGATAATAATTATGGATTGGTGAAACAACAATTATAAAAAATTATAATTCTTATTGTTATTTTTATTTGTAAATTTAATTTATTAAATTATAAACTTAAATTGATTTATAAATGCTATGCTAATAATAAATTATGTATATAATAAGTGATAATATTTATTGCATTTTTATTAAAATATTAATAGTATGGCTTAAAACAATCAGATTAAAGAGTAAAAAAAAGATAAATTGAAAAATTGAAAACTAAAAAAATAAAAAATACATACTGTGTGAATTTTTGATATTATAGTTTATAATGATTCAACCTTTCTAAAAAATTAAAAACATAATTTAATAAAAATAAAATTAAATGAAACATAACTATATATCACATCTTAATTGTCTAAAAAAAATAAAATAAATAAAACAAAATTATAAAAAAACTTTATATAGATAACAGCTTAAAAGTATCCTAAAAAAAGAAATAGTACAATCAAATGTTTTATCTTTTTATCATTCTAATTATATTATTGCACAAGAAATTTTTTATTAAGCAAAAAATATAAATATTTGCATGCAAAGCATTATGAAAGTTCTAAATTTCACTAGCAGTTATCAGATATAATAAATAATAAATCTGGATTGAATCTGAAGAAACTAGATATAATAAATTTAGATTGAATCTAAAGAAATTTAATATAATAAAAAATATGCTGTATTCTGATTGGATTTATCAATATTTTCTAAAGCAAGTATTTTAGATGTAAAGTTACCTAATATTTTTATTTTTTATTGTAGGTTCATATAATTGATTGAGTTTTACCTTTATTAGATATAAGTATGTAAATTGTTGAGATTAAATTATACTTGATATAAAAGTAGGAGAAATGAAAAGTTTGTTATCAATAACTTCTATTATTGATGATAAATTATATTTTGTTAAGTTATATTTGATGATATTGTTAGTAATAGTTTTATTATAATGCATAATACTACGCCAAACTTAATTGATGAATGGTAATCTTAATGATTACAATTCTCAACTTTCTACCATTTCTCTGATTTTTCTAATTTCACTAATTTCTTAATGATCTCTAATTTCACACATTTTTTTAATATATTTAATTTCTTTATTTTATTATATTTCTTATATTTTTTTACTATCTTAAATATCTATTTCATATTGATGTATTTTATATAAATATCTTGTATTTTGCCTCAATAAATGGCAGAATCATTACCAATTCTCTAATAAATCAATAACATTTTATCTTTTAAACTTATCCTTGCTCGTAAAATAATTCATTCTTCTTTAAATCTATATTAATAAAGATAGATGACTTGACACTTTAATTTAATTATTCGTGTTTATTTCTTCCATAGTTTAAATGCACTTAAACTTCCTGCTAGCAAATACTCTTTGTTAACTTAATAATAAATAGTTTAAGTTTAATAATGTTGAAATGAAAAATTGTTGAAATTTTTGAAATAAATATGTTTTTACATTTTTTGATTGAGTTAGTAGTGATTGAGAATGTTATGTATTGTTTGAATAGTTAATGATGTAATAGTTTATGCTGATAATAAAAAGCTTAATAAAGGTATTTATTTAGTAGAAATTGCTAAAATTGGAAATTGTTGACTAAAGATGGGAACTGTAATTAATATGTTGCAACTTTTAATGTTGCAACTTACGTTGCAATTAGTTTTAACCTATATATGTTGCAACTTATAATGTTATAACATATGTTGCAACTAATTTTAGCTTATGTTGCAACATTTTGTAAATTTGAAATCAATTGCTGTACCATCTTTATTGTTGACTATATAAAAGTTAAAATTGTGTAATTTTATATATGGCTTTTTCTCTATAAAAGTTAATACATCAGAAAAAAATATTGAGAATTTATATCTTATAGTAGTAGTTTAGTTGGTAAAATAATTGTCATTTAAATGAAATATTATTACTATAATTTCAGTTAGTTTAACATTTAATAGATAATTAATAATAATGCATCTATTATAATTATTATATAAATTGGTAAATTTTTAGAAGAAATATCTAAAATAACTACTGTATTTAATATAATAATACCTGATTAAACACTTTTTTTGAAAAATTGTAGTTTCATCAAAAGTTTTATCTCTTTAATATTTTATAAAATTATTATATTTTTAATTTAAGGAATTTAGATCAAGTTAAATGTAATTTCAGCAATTAAAGTAATTTCGTCATTAATAAAAAACTAGTTTCATCATTTCAGTTTCATCAATTTCGTAATATTAAAAAAGGTAATTTTGTCAGGTATCACTAATTTAATATTAATTACAAAAAATATATATTTTTTTTAAAAAATGAAAATGAAATTATATTAATATTTATTTTATATAAAAATTTTTTTTTATAAAATATATATATTAATTTCTCATTTTTAGTTCCTTTAGTAAACTTTAAATTTACAATTAATAAAATTTGACCTTCTTTTAATTTAAAAATATAGTAAGGATTTGATTTATCAATTGGATAAAATATAATAATTAAGAAAGTTTATGTTAAATCATTTTCTTTAATTAATAGCTTTCCTATAAAAAAGCTAGTAAATATTTTTATTTTATCTTATTTTTATAAAAAATTTTTATTTTCTTTCAGTAAATTTTATTTTTTATATAAAATTTATGAGAAATAATTTTTTTTCTTTTTTTATAACAAAATAATTTTTTTTTTATAATCATAAATATTTGTAAAAGAATCCATTTTTATTTAAACAAAACAAAAAAAAAACAAAAAAAAAGTATATAATTTAAAAATAAGTTAAATTATACATGAAGTCGAAATGGATCATTTCAGATATCCGAAATGGTCGAAATTGTTGAAATCATTTTTTTTTGATACATTTACTAGGCATACACAAGTGGTAATATATTCGGATACATACCTTTCAACAAAATAATACGTCTTACAACACGTCTAATTTCACTATTAACTCCCTTTGCTATATTTCAAACCAGTGTGGGTTGGCGTTAAACCTAGATGAATGAGTGTCAATATCTGAGTAGACTGCTAAACCAATGAACCCTTAGGGTAGAGAGATATGGTACCTAACCATCATTCACTATTCATCACAACTATACATGAAGTCGAAATGAAAACCCAAAAGTCGAAATGTTTCGACTTTGGAGGTCAAAGTCGAAATGAAAAG